ACGCACATAAATTATCAAATCACATACCTTCGAGCTTTGCACTCATGACATTTTCCTTATGTAATGTGTATATAGACCAATGCACACACATTCTGCATTTAATCTCTTTTGCAGTTTAAAAGAGCAACAGTTTGTATTTGTTCGCAATTATAGGTCTCAAACGCAAGAGGGAATGTAATATGCATATGGTTGTAGCTGAACAGGATGAGGGGCTTATTCAGTCTTCAAAAAAGACACGAACCCGCAAACCTAAATCCGATGACATTCTTCAAAGCTTTAAGGAATTTCAGAACAAGGGGTCATCCTCTAAGTTGGTTAAGGCCATTGCACGGTTTAGTCCAGAACAACGACGTGCAGTTCAGGATATGGGATTTGGGAGTCCTTTACATCTGACAATTACAGAGTTCCCGAACCACCTATGCTACTAGATCCTGAAACACTATGATGGAATGGCAGACAAGCTGACACTACGTTCAAAAGAAACTTTGGATGTAACTGAAGATTATGTGGAAGCTGTTTTAGGCCTCCCTAGGGGACCCCTTGAGATTACATACAAGGGAAAGAGGACCTCCTCTACTAATGCTTTATTCAATGAGTGGAAGACTAAGATTGTGGAAAAAAATTTGTCAAGTGTGACGTATACTGTGACACCCTGTAATCCAAATTCAATTAAGGGATTAATTAAGTAATTAATCCTAAACCAATTGGTAATTTAATTCTTTAAATTCCTGAAAATTCAATAGTCGGAGACTAGTAATTGACTAGTCAACCCAAAGTCAAGGTTGTACCTTAAGCTTTGTGAGTAGTTCCCTTACACCTCTTCATTTTAGTAAGGGTATTCATGACATTTCACTTTGTGTTAGTAATGCAAGCTAACCGAGTAGACACTCCTCATTCTTTCTCCTTACACTTCCCAAACTTGAGCTCTCCCTTCTCTCTAAATGTTAGATAGCTTTTCTTCCAAGCCAAGTTGGAGCTTTGTCAAATCTTCAAAGGTTGTCTACAAGATTCTACCTTTCATACATTTGAGCATCTAGGAGGGTAAGATCTATGTTCATCTTGTGTTTTTAGTATTTTCTAAGGTGTCTTTCTTTAAAGATAGAATCTTTATGATATTTTGGTGTTTAAATGCTAGCGTGTGTGTTGTTTGTACCTTCCTAATGTTGATGATGACTTGTGTTATTCATCGTTGTTGTCGGATTGTGATCCATTCCTTGATTGAGTATGGTTTCATATCTTCGTTGTGATCTATTGATTGATTCCTGTTGAGGTGTGATGTGTGTGTGGCTGTACCTGGATTGCACGATTTCGGTTTATGGGGCCTTAATCACCAAGGTACGGCAGTGGTCCTCGTGGTGGCCATGACGCGATTATGGAGTTTGTGACCTGTGTGTCGGGTTCACGTATTTCTTGGGAGGCGTGTGTCGCCGTGTGTGTGATCGGTACCCTCGTGTACTATGAATTGGTGGTCTTGTTAGTGGTTGTTGGTGGGGGACAACGGTCCCAGGAGGGAAAAGGTTGGACTTGGTTGTACAGGGGTCCTGGAGGTAATGGTTGGAACTAGACATAAGGTTGGGGTAGCCATAAGGTTGGAACCGGGCATAAGGAAGGCATATCAATTCGTGATGGGTAATGTCACGAAGGCTTGTATAGCCGTTGTTGTGAGTTTATCTTCTTGTGACGTGTGTAGTCACAAAGGCATGTGTTGCCATTGGTTGTGTCCTTATTCTCTTGTGTTATGCATGTCGGGTGTTAATCTACTGTGTGATGGTAGATTATACCTTGAGCCGTTCTTGTGAGTCGTTGTACCTCGTGTGGTCTCGGGATGTATACCCTTATCTTGTTGTGAGTGCTTAGAGTCTTGTGTTGACTTCTGCTCTTAGTTTTGAACAAAAACAATGGACACCGCAATGCCAAACGAACGAGTGACGACAGACAACTGAACGATTCTTTGAAAAACAAAAACAACGGCGACGGTAATGCGAAAGACGATAGAGAACAGCGATGAAGGTTAACTTATTCAAAATTACTAATTTGTCCCTCAATACGCCAATACAAGTAAAAATAAGCGAATTTCAATGTTTGACATCAACGGTGAAGATATTTTAATTCATTAAAAACAAACAGCAGCCATACAACTGCACGCCCGCACCTAACAGTGCCAACCGCACCAAAACCCGCATATATATATATATATATATATATATATATATATATATATATATATATATATATATATATATATATATATATATATATATATATATATATATATATATATATAATTGTAAAATAAGTATTACTCCGTAGTATATAGTTATTTATAAAAGTTTCTATTACTTCGTGGACTTTTTACTGTTTTTATATTTAAAGTACTAAGTTTATTTTTAAGATTAAAAATTTAGTTATTATATTTAAATATTTCTATTATTTTATATTTTAATATAACTAATGAATTTTATTATCTTATTATGTGCAAGTAATTTAAATATTTTTTTAAAAAATAACAACATGATAAATGGTGGGTATCTGAAGTGGGCATTCGCACCCGGTCAATAGTTATGTCATGGATCTAGGTTCACCTTGCAAGGTGGACCCAGATCCTAAACGACGTAGTTTGCACCTGTGAAAATAACGGTGTCGTTAGTGGCACCGTTTCCGCAACCAATGATTTAAAAAATAAATTATTAAAAACAACTCAGCGAGTGAATATTTAGTTATGTAATTGTGAATATAGTGTTTTTTAATTGTGAATATAGAGTTATGAAATTGTGAATATAAAGTTCTTTAATTGTAAATATAGAGTTCTGTAATTGCGATCAATATAGAGTTCAAAAATTGTTAATATAGAATTTTGCAATTGTGATATATATATAAGTTCTGTAATTGTGATCAATATAGAGTTCAAAAATTGTGAATATAGAATTTTGCAATTGTGATATATATAGTTTGCGAATAAGGTGGACTAAAATTTGTAAATATAACACGGATAGTTATGCTGTGGGCTCGTGCCCAGCGTGCTTCATGGGCACGGATAACGGTGCCGTCAGGCACCGTTATCTTCCCTCTTTTTTTTTTTTTTTTTTTTTTAATTTAATTTCAGACCGCTTCGTTATAGGAGCATATATTCACAGCTTTGTGTTCATAATTTCATAACTGTACATTCATAATTCCATAACTGTACATTCATAATTCTATAACTGTACATTCATAATTCCGTAACTGTACATTCATAATTCAATAACTGTAAATTCATAATTTTCGAAGCTCTATGTTCATAATTGTAAGTTCATAATGTCAGGGTTCTATGTTCATAATTTCATAACTGTACATTCATAATTCCATAACTGTACATTCATAATTCTATAACTGTACATTCATAATTCCATAACTGTACATTCATAATTCCATACTGTATATTCATAATTCCATACCGAACATTCATAATTTTCGAAGCTCTATGTTCATAATTGTAAGTTCATAATTCCATAACTATACATTCATAATTCTATAACTGTACATTCATAATGTCATAACTGTATATTCATAATTTCATAACGAATATGACGTTAACGCCGTTAACGGCGTTTCGAACAAATTACTTTTTTTAGTTAAAACAGCGTCGTTTTCACGGAAAACGACGCCGTTTTAGCGCCGTGCGCACCTTGCAAGGTGCGCACGTGCGCATAGCATAATTTGCCATATAACACGGGTCGACAGCATAATTTGCTTACCTAGTGGAGTGGGGTTGGGTTTTGAAAAAGTCCACCTAATGCAAATTGTGTCACTCCCCTACCCATGGCCGTCGCTACACACAACGGACACAAAGGGGGTGTTTGGTTAGTGGCTGATCAGCCAATTTTTGGCTGATTTGACCATTTTCGGCTGTTTGACTTAGTCAATCAGCTGAAATGAGTGTTTGGTTAGTGGCTTTTTCCTTCGGCTGATTCATCCCAATAAGCTGATTTTAGAAACGCTGGGTGTAGCAGCGTTTTGGGATAGCTGGTTGCAATTAATTTTTGAAAGACAAATTTACCCATCAAATCTTCTTCTTCTCTCACTGGCAGCCACGGACAGCACTCAATAATACACATCTAAACTCACAAATTAATAGTAAATAACAAATGGAAAAAACTATCAACTTGAAAGTCTTCATCCTCAAAATTCATCACACAACAAATACACAAACTACATTTTTTTAATTCACAAATTAAAAGTAAAAAAACAAAAACAAAAACAAAAACAAAAACAAAAAATACAATGATAAAAAACGAACCCAAATCGATCATCTTCATCCTTGCTGCTATTGATTCTTGCCCTTCTTCTCCATTGCTTCTTGCCTCTGATTCTCGCTCATTTTTTTCTCCAGTGCTTCTCGCTATTTCTTCGGCTTCTTGGCGTCGATTTGGGGCAGAGGGTAGGGATTTGATTTGATTTGGGATGTGGGGGTTTGGCATTTAAGTTGAGAAATACGGGTGGGTAGGTTTGGCATAATAGTAGTAGTAATAGTAATAGTAATAGTAATAGTAATAATAATGTTTGTGGGTTTATTACTTTATTCATTTAATAATAATAAATAATAATAGTAATAAATTTATTTAATAATAAATAGTAATAGTAATATATTCATACCCTTAAAGGTCATTTTACATACAATCAGCTAATAGTGAGCAGCTAATTTACCAAACACTTTTTTATAATCAGCTAATACAATCAACTGGTCAAACCAATTAATACAATCAGCTATCAATTACCAGCTAAACCAACCAGCTATCAGCTATCAGCTATAAGCCATTTACCAAACACTCCCAAAGTCAAAGACGTGTAAATTGATGATAGATAGATCAGAATCTGGCCACCTACAAATTAACGAGGGTTGACTTAGTTGGTGCATTATATGAAACCGTAAAAAAAAATATGAAACCGTAAAAGTTTCTCAACAGTACTCCGTCTGGAGCAAATACAGAGGGAGAGAAATATGGTTTGTGTTCCTCTAACCTCTCTGATGAATACAATCCAGTTTGAGTTCTTACAACCCAGCCCGCCCGTAATCCTTGATGAAGATACAGCACATATGATGAATTCTCTCTACCAGAATCTTGATTCCTTGCTCACCTTTCTCGAGGAATTAGTGAAGAAGAAACCAGAGATAGATGAGGCTGCAGCAATCAAAGATTTGGAAGCCAAAATCAGAGACTTTGCCTTCTTAGCAGAAGATGAAGTTGAATCAAATCTGGCAAAGATATATATGGAGGCGGCAGATAAAAACATGACACTCTTTCAGAACCTACAACAAGTAGGTGAAGATACAGAGATGACACTCTTTCAGAACCTACGACAAGTAGCTGAAAAAACTCAAAACTTCGTCAACACAATTAAAAGCCAATACAATGATTCTGCCGTCCAAAATTTGCCAAAGGTATCACGACAGTCTTTGCTTACTGAATTAGCATGCAGTAACATTATATTGATGATACATTATTTCATAATTTACAACTCTTCCTCTACAGGTACATACCCCTCCGTTAGATATTGGTTTAGACCACAAGAGCGGATCTTCACCGCGGTTCTCAAAGATTATTGAGGGCAAAATGGTTGGGCGTACAAGTGAATTAAATACAATAATGGATCAGCTCATTTGTCATCCATCTGAAGAAAGGAAAGTCATTTCCGTTTTCGGGATGGGCGGGATCGGTAAAACTACTTTAGCTAAAAGAATTTACGAAGATCCATTACTGGTATCCCACTTTGACCTTTGTGCATGGACTACTGTCTCTCAAGAAGTTAACTTGAGACAAATTCTCTGCAGCCTTCTTTGGTCCATTGAGAGAGGAATGAATACTGAGGGAAGCACAGATGATCTAGCACACAAACTACGACAGCGTTTGATGGGTCAGAGGTATTTGATTGTGGTGGATGACGTATGGGAAACCAGTGTTTGGGATCTTCTCATCAGATGTTTTCCTGAAAGTTATGGAAGTGCAATATTACTAACATCTCGGCTAAAAGAGATTGCAGACTACACTACATCAGGTGCCAGCAATCTTCATAACTTGCATTTTCTTGATTCTAATGAAAGTTGGGATCTATTTTGCAGTCACAGTTTCTTGAAACAACCCTTGAGCTCTAAATTCAAGAGAACTCAAAGGAATATTGTTGACAAGTGTGGGGGGCTACCCCTGGCAATTGTTGTAGCTGCTGGACTTGTATCCCAATTCAGCAAATTTGAAGAATTGGAAAAGATTGAGAAGGAAATGAGCTATCTTGCTAGTACAAATATTGGTGAACAATGTTCAAGAATTCTTATTGTAAGTTACAACCATTTACCTCAGCATTTGAAAGCTTGCTTTTTATATTTAGGAATTTTCTCAGGCCATAGTGAAATTCCTGTTAAAAAGCTTGTTAGATTATGGATTGCTGAGGGGTTTGTGAAGAAGTCAGTGAGGGATAAGGAATTGGAAGAAGTGGGTGTTGGGTATTTACAAGATATTATTAGTAGAAGCCTAGTCCAAATTGATAAGCTTAAATGTGATGGCCAAATCAAGACATGTAGGATGCATCATCTCCTGCGGGTACTTTGTGTGAGACAAGCAAGAAACGAAAAACTTTTGTATGTTGAAGACGATGGTTTTGATATGTGCAACAGTAGTTTCAAAAAACCCCATGGTACTTCTAGTTGGCTGCTATGCTTTAGAACATCAAAGCCTGAGCGTTTTGATATGTGCAGCAGAAGCTCCAAAAAAGCCTGCAGCGGTGCTTGTCGTTGGCTAAGTTTTAGATCATCAAAGCCTGAGAATTTTGATTTGTGCAACAGTAGTTTCAATAAAGCCCGTTCTGTTTTGTGTTTGCATAATGATGAGATGCCAATGGTGAATGATCCTAAGCTTGTAAGCTTCAGCTTGTTAAGAGTTCTGGATTTGACTTCTCCTTTATACAACAAGGGAGTGTATATGTCTTTTGAAAACCTTTCCAATCTAGTTCTTCTTGAATACCTAGCTTTTATGTTCAATAGGTCTTTGGGCTCCGAGGGTCTTGACATTGTACTGTCTAAGAATCAAAAACTGCACACACTTGTTGTTTGGCATAGTGCAGCTGACTACTGGAGACGGAATTATTCCTTCTTGCCCTCCACAATTTGGGGGTCACCACAACTAAGGCATCTCGAGTTTAGAAATTGCTTTAGAGTAGAGCCTCCAAGCATAGTGAACGAGAACTTGCAAAGTTTGTATTGGTTGAGCATATTTCATTGCACAAAGGAAGTTATTTCGAAGATTCCCAACATAAAAACACTGGGGATTTTTCGTGAAGGTAGATGGATTCCAGACAATGGTGTGCCGTGCAATGGTGCTAGCAGCTTGGAAAATCTATGTCAATTGAATCTACTTGAGGCTTTAACTATTGAAGCTGAGTATGCCATTCCTGAGCGTATATCTCTTCCGGGTATAAATGCATTCCCATGTAACCTTAGGAAGCTGAAATTGAGCAAGACTTATTTTCCATGGAAGGATATAGCAACAATTGCGTTGTTGCCTGGATTAGAGGTGCTCAAACTAAAAAGGGATGCTTTTTATGGGCCTGAGTGGGAACCAACTGAAGGGGGATTCCAAAGATTAAAGTTTTTGTTGCTTGAAAATACAGATCTAAAGATTTGGAATGCCTTCGACAATGAGTTTCCTATCCTTGAGCACTTGGTCTTGAAGCATTGTGAGAACTTGGAAGGGATCCCAACTATTTTCTCCAATGTAACCACTCTCAAATCAATTGATTTAGAATGGTGTGGCCAAGCCCTTTCGAGTTGTGCCAAGAATATCCAACAAGATCAGCTCGATTATGGGAATAATGAACTAAAAGTTCTAGGCCGTAATCCTCAGGTCTGCACTTTCTTCTACACTTGCCTAAACTTTTAATTATAATATCATGTTATGATTAACCATTAATTAGTTAGATCAATCTCACACAGTTTTTTTTTTTCTTTTTGTTTTCTCTGTTGATTGAATGCAGACCACTCATAAGCAACTCACATTTTATAAAGGTCGAGAGATTAGGACGGTCACCGAAAGCTGGTAATTTAATTTAATTAACCACCTGTGATATTTTCTTCCAATGTATATTAGTATACTAGTTTTTTGCTCATTACGCGAATGAGATAATACCCAATGTTAATTTTTCAATAAGTATTGCAAAGTATATCAATGCAAGATTATATAAGAAATGTTCATAAATGTTAAATTTGTTTATTTAAATTGGTATTTCAAAGTATATGAATGTAAGATAATATAAGAGAGATTGATTATAATTGTCATTAAAATAAATGTTTGCAATTTTGTAAAATGCTAGTCTAAAAACAATAGTCTAAATAACTACTACTTTTGATTTAAATTTCTCTAATTCTTCGTAATTTTCTTTTGTGTAGTAGTACACTAGAGTTGTATATCCCTAGGCGGGTACCCAGAAAGTTAGTCCCCTAGGCGGTCAGGAGATTGGGGTATGGTCTCTTGTATGGATGGACTTCAATTGCCCGGCCTGGCTGAGGTGGGCAACTCGTCGATTAGCCCAGTTAAGTGACCACCGGAGGCAGTCGGATAAGTCCTGACCGGGTGCCACACTCAGAGACGGTGAATGAGGATTTGGTAAAGATTCTTCCCGGTTTTGGCGCGAGAGTTTCATTTTTCAATATTAGGAAGTTTGCTTAGCAATATAGAAACTTCCTTTCTTTTTTCAAGGCCTATAATCTTGTATAAATACCCTGGGATCACATTGTAAAGGGGTTCTGAATTTAATATAAGCACAATTACTCTGTCAAAATTCTCTTTCAACTTTTCCTTATTATTTTATGGTTGTGTTGGCCCGCCGGTCTGGCTATCCTGGCCCATAGCCGTAAAACCAACAGGTACCTTTGTTATTGTTTTCATCTCTAGTACTTGTCATTTTCTTTTTTATTGGTAGTGTCGTCCGCGACCAGGAGCTCCCCTAAGCCTTCCAGAGGAATCCCCTGGCATTGCAAGGAAGGTGGAAACATTCTCAGGGTGTATGAAGCAGGTTTGATGAGCACCATTGGCCGCTTCAGGATCAATGCTTCTGTTGTTGATAATCTGGGACAACGTACTCTTCTGCATCTTTTACTGCTTTTCGCAAGCTTGGATGGAGTTCCCCACGAGCTTTGTCTTGAAACTCTCCGTCTTGGGCGAGAAGAAAACTTCTTAGTTGTATATCAATGTATCTTCAACTTTAATTTGAGCGCAAAGTCTTTGATTTTGATTTCAAGATGACGGACTGGAACACCACCGTTGTTGTATTCCTTATGCAGAAAGGCTTGCAAAGAATGACAAAGTATTTGAAGCTGAGTGAAGTTGAGAAAATGACAAAGTCACCTAGGAAAGGCAAGGAATAGAAATCTTTGCTAATGTACATAGCCACATCACTGAAAAGAGTGGTTAGTAATATCTGACTTCAATTTGATTCATCAGGAAAACATTGTTGGATATCATATATCCCAAACCACAGTGTTAGGGACATCATCCAAAACAATTAAATATCTTTTGCATTTCAAGTGTTTGTGCAGTTGCTCTTTTAATTTAGTTGAAAAACAGTGCTTCCCATGTCAATTTCATTGAGGGTTGGCCACATTGATTGAAGAAGTTGGGACAGTAATTGTTGCACATTGTATCTTCGCGGAATAGTAACCCAACCTCGAATGCTGAAATGTGATACAACCCCTTCATTTGCATAGAGATTTTTACAAAAAGTAGTCTTTCCAAGGCCTGGCACTCCAAAAATTGAGGAATAATAATATCATAGAGGATAACATTCCTTAACGATGTAAAGTCATTGTGACAACGAACCATTATATCGTCGAGCTCGTGAGAACATTGCAAGGATCCACTTGACAAAATGTTCTCAATGCAAGGTGTGAATCGTTGGCCACTTCAACTTCATTGCTTGCACTATTGATAATCTTCAACAACTCTTCTGCATCCTTTGCTACTTCTTGCAAGGTTTGATAGAGTTCCGCATGCGTGAGCTTTTTCTTGATGCTCTCTTCCGTCTTTGGGCAGAAGGGTGTTTCTTAGTTGTATTTCAATGTCATCTTCAGCTTTGAGGGCAACGTCTGTGATTTTGATTTCCAGATGTCGGATTGGAGCACCATCGTTGTTATATTCCTTATGCAAAAAGTCTTCCAAAGAAGAAAGCTTCTCAAGCAGAGAAAGAAAAGAATGTAGAAGAGCATTTGCACATAAAATAAAAATATGATAGAAGGGCATTTAGCTCCTCAATAATGACAGCAGCATAGTACTTTCTCTGCATTGGACTCTTTTCCTTTCCACGGAAGTGGAGCCCCAAATTACTTTCCTTTACTAAAGTTATGTCTCAATCATGGCTTACTTATTATTACAATTTTTAAAAAATAATTTACACTCATAATTTATTATTTATCTTTATAATGCATGTGGTAATATATAAAACAAAATAAAATATAGAATAATATTTAATTTAAACATTATTACTAATATAATTATTAATATTTAATAGTACCCTTGCAAAATGAATTCCATTGGATGCATCATTGCTCATCACAGAGCATAAGCACGACCAATTTTATAATCAAAATACAAATTTCTTGCTTCAAATTAAGTAAAAATAAGACATTTGTATAAAATAATTTCACAACTTGTAACACCCACAAAACTAGGTATTTCTATTCTTGGGATGGGCGGGATCGGTAAAACTACTTTAGCCAAAAATGTTTACGAAGATCCATTAGTGGTAACCCACTTTGCCCTTCGTGCATGGACTACTGTCTCTCAACAAGTTAACTTGAGACAAATTCTCTGCAGCCTTCTTTGGTCCATTGAGAGAGGAATGAATACTGAGGGAAGCACAAATGATCTAGCACACGAACTACAACAGCGTTTGATGGGTCAGAGGTATATGATTGTGGTGGATGAAAACCGGTGTTTGGGATCATCTCACCAGATGATTTCCTAAAAGTTATGGAAGTGCAGTATTGGTGACCTCTCGGCTAAAAGAGATTGCAGATTACACTACATCAGGTGCCAGCAATCTTCATAACTTGCATCTTCTTGATTCTAATGAAAGTTGGGATTTATTTTGCAGTCACATTTTCTTGAAACAACCCTTGAGCTCTAAATTCAAGAGAATTCAAAGGAATATTTTTGACAATTGTGGGGGGCTACCCCTGTCAATTGTTGTAGCCGCTGGACTTCTATCCCGACTCAACAAAGTTGAAGAATTGGAAAAGATTGAGAAAGAAATGAGCTATCTTGCTAGTACAAATATTGGTGAACAATGTTCAAGAATTCTTATTGTAAGTTACAACCATTTACCTTAGCATTTGAAAGCTTGCTTTTTATATTTAGGAGTTTTCTCGGGATATAGTGAAATTCCTGTTAGAAAGCTTGTTAGGTTATGGATTGCCGAGGAATTTGTGAAGAAGTCAGTGAGGGATAAGGAATTGGAAGAAGTGGGTGTTGGGTATTTACAAGATCTTATTAGTAGAAGCCTAGTCCAAATTGATAAGCTTAAATGTGATGGCCAAATCAAGACATGTATGTTGGAGAATAGAAGCAGTAGCAAAGAAATATGAAGTAAAAGCTTAAAGGACTTTATAGTCTTTCCTCTCTTTGGTTTCTGTTACAACCGCTATCTTCCATGCACTCTCTGTATATATTCTTGCTCCTTGCTTCTATTGTGTAACTTGAACGAACAGATGAACTATCAAGAAATCTTCATTCCCTTTTTTCCTCTCTTACACTTCGCGTTATGGTATCAGAGCCTCACGGCATAGCCTCAACAAATGAATAAACACAGTTCCTACGCCGCCGCCATCACCGGTAAGCCGGAGCAGGAGACGCATGAAGGCGGAGCAACACCGCAAAGGAATCGGACTCCGCAGAGGAATTCGATTCAGCAACAGAGAACTGGATCCATCACTTCTGATCAGTTGGAGAAGTTGATCTCCCTCTTTCAGGCTCAAACTGGACAAATCCAGAATTCAAAAACCACAGGTGCAGTGTCTCTGATTTCGCGATTAGGTGAGGACAGCTCTGCGAACAAAGTGTCTCTGATTCCGCGATTCAATGAGGATAGCTCCGCGAATGAAGGCAAGTCTTCAAATATTCATGTTAATTCAATTACGCTGTCATCATCTACTTGGATATTAGATTCAGGAGCTTCGGATCATATAGTTTGTTCTGTTGAATTTTATGATGCTTATCGTGCCATTCATGATACTGAAGTGAGTTTGCCTACTGGAAAGTCCATTTCTGTCAACCATTTAGGCAACATTAAATTGAATGAGAAGCTATGGTTGAAGAATGTTCTGCATATTCCCTCCTTCCAATTCAACTTGATCTCTGTGAGCAAGCTCTTACAAGACACATGTTATAGTCTCCTATTTACTCCTGGGCAGTGCTTGATTCAGGATACTAGTGGAATGACACTTGCTTTGGCTAAGCAAATGAATGGTCTATATTTACTGATGGAACCACCTAGACCAAAGAATGTTGTTCATAAAGGCATGGCAGCACAATGTAATAATGGTGAGACTTGGCACCAAAGACTAGGACATTTCCCAGTTAATAAACTTCATTTTTTGAAAGGCATCAAAGCTACTACAGTTAAGGATTTCTCTTGTGATGCTTGTAATCTGGCTAAGCATAAAAGATCACCGTTTCCTACAAGTACTACAGTTTCAAAAGCAGCCTTTGATTTAATTCATGCCGACATATGGGGACCATTCCCAGTTAGTTCGTTGAAAGGTGAACATTATTTTTTAACTTTGGTGGATGATTATTCGAGGTTCACATGGCTGCACCTAATGAGAAACAAAAGTGAGGTGAGACAGTTTATTGTGAGATTTCATGCATTGGTTTTCACTCAGTTTGGGAAACTAATCAAAGCCATTAGGACTGATAACGGAGCAGAGTTCAATATGCTTGAGTTTTTTGCAGAAAAAGGAATTATTCACCAAAAGTCTTGTGCCTATACACCGCAGCAAAATGCAGTGGTCGAAAGGAAGCATCAGCATATTCTCAACGTGGCAAGATCCATTCGGTTTCAGGCCTCCTTACCCGTTGAGTTCTGGGGGCAATGTGTGATGCATGCAGTATATCTCATAAATAGATTGCCTTCGCCGGTCATTGAGTTATCCACTCCCTATCACAGACTATATGGAAAGGATCCTGATCTCATGAGCCTCAAGATATTTGGTTGTCTCTGTTATGCTTCAAATCTCTCACCCTCCAAGCACAAAATGGCTCAACGTAGTAGAAGGTGCATTTTTGTGGGCATACCTGCTCACACAAAGGGCTACTTGATGTATGATTTGGAAGAGAAGATTATTTTTGCATCTAGAGATGTCAAGTTCTATGAATTTTTGTTTCCTTTTTCAGAAAAGGAACACTCAGTTGATGATGACTCTGGTTCTATGTTGATTGGTCCATCCCTCCCTAACATTCCCATTGACACTCAAACACACTATGAGCCTCCACCAGATGTCTCCAGAGTGCACCTTTCCAACATTAGTGACCGAGAAGAAGGGGCTAATATGGCAGATCACAGATTTATCCCATCACAGCAGTCTAATTCTGAGGACATGGCAAACACTGATCTCTCTTCACAGCAGCCTAACTATGAGGACGTGACAAACATTGATCATGAAACCATACAGGAAACGGAGCAGCATGTCTCTGTTTCAAATGAGCCAAGAAGATCGGAAAGGCAAAGGCGTGTTCCAAGTAGA